AGATAACTATATGTTTAATAGGTTACTTCAAAGCTATGAAAGAAATAACAGTTGGGTAAAATTATGGACATTTTCAAGAAACAAATGTTCTCTTATGTCCTTTTGGTATTATATTTATAAACAAAATGCAAAATTTAGTAAATACGTAGATAAATCTCAGGAAAAAATGGTAAATTAACATGAAATGTTTTACTTAAAGTCTATATAAAGTTGGTGATCGTAATACATTTGAAAAATAGTTCATATACAGTGCATTAAAATTTTGCACCCCATCTATGAATTCATGAAATTCAGCCCAAAAAGTCATTTATCACGTTCGCTTGCTTGCTGCAGTATATTCTCTTGTCGTTTTAATCTTTTTGCTTTTGAGTTGTATTATTTCTGAAATTGTACTATTTCTGAATCTGAAGCTTTAAAACACAAAATCACTCTGATTTATCAACTTAGGTCTAAATGTAAAGTACAGTCAACCAAATGGAAGATTTTAGCATAAGTAAATGTACTACGGACAAAATAAAATTAAAAATTCATCATTATTTTTCATGCTCTGTTCATGAAACTAGTCCTGACTTAAACCATTTGGAACATTTTCAGAAAAAAATATTCATTTCTTGTTCATGTTTTTGCATACTCAGATACTAATTTTGTTTGAAATATGGGATTTTCTTATTCCATTTTATATTTCACTGTTAAAGTCTGGCTTGGGAAAATTGTTTTCCTTGGAAATGGCATACTTGTCCTATATATCTGTGACTGTTCTAATAAATTACATTACTAACATGTGAAAATCCATTATAGTTATACAGGAATTATCTTGAATGTTTCCTTAATCTGAAATGCAAAATGTAACCCATGTGCAAAAAATAGAGCAAGTTTATCTTAAAAAAGTTCTCCACGAATACATCTTTTTCTCGGTCCTTACATGCTTTTCTGTATCTGTATTATCACTCAAGTTCATTGTGTACCTTTCTTTCATCTAATTTGTGAAGTATTCCTCTTTGAATACTAACATTTGAATTTGTTTAACTGATTTTAAAGTACATGTATATTTTGGTCTATGCGTGGGGAAATGAGGAACTGTGGCCCTGAGTGTTCTAAGCATTCCATACTGCATTTTTCTTAAGAGTACAGTTCAGTTAAAAGAGAAATGTGTTTCGTACTTTGTGAAAATTTTATTTACTTATTATGTGTCATGCTTATGATAAATAAAAAATGTTATACATGTGCGCAGGATTACGTGGTTCCAATGTTTGATTAAAAATAATGCTTTTCAAAAAAGTGTGGTCTTTCTTATGACATATTAAAAATGCGTTAAAATTTTTAAAGTTGGTGACTATAGTAGATCATTATATGGACTTTCTGTCATTATTACCTATTTTGTATAATTATTTGTGTGTAATTTTATTTATTATCTATGAGAAGTTAAATGTCAAAAAAGCTGTAAAAGTTCATTATTAAGCAATGTCAGTTTGAAATTTCTATCTTAAAATTATTTGTGTTAGGTCATGTTAATTACTATGTTAGATCATTATTTGGAACTCTACTCGATATTTCGTGTAATGTATCATAACTATGTAGGAGTCAATTGTCAGGTATGATAAATTAAATTTCGTTCTCAAAAGGCTGTAAGAGTTCAGTGCTAAATAAATTATTGACAATGTGAAATATGGGTCTTTTTCAGTTAAGTTACAATAAATACGTTAAAAATATTCCAAGTTAACAAATTTTTATATTCCAAATTGGGAAAAAGGCGATAAAGTTTCATTTCCATGGCTGAATATTAATTCCATGTGTATTATATAGACATTAAGTTCTCCTTCAAAAATGTGACTATAATTCAAAAAAATAATACGTTACAATGTGGATATTCTTCTCTGTAGTTAAAATATAATTCAATCTTCTGTACCTTGTTAAGAGAGTTAGGCTGTGATACGTTCAAATAGAGTAGTGTTTATAAAGTTCTGCGGTAAATGGTGGAATCATATTAAGAATCCGAGTGACGTTTTCACATGAAGGATAAAATCAAGGTTTCAGTGTATGTCTGGTGATTTAAGTAGGATATATGCAAGAAAATAAAAGATATTTTTGTAAAATATTTCAAAGAGTTAGCAAAATTTGTGTTAGTAGTATAAATGAATCTTACTGAATAAAAGGGAGTGTTCTGAATATATATGTATAAATGTCTGTAGAGTAAAATAAGAAGAAATGAAGTACTATTGGTATGTATCTAAACTTAACTGGGTAGAAATGTTCCATGCATTGGTTTTTTTTGAGTGGCTTTATACCATGAAAATTTATTGCTCCTTATAAGATTTATTTAAAGTCAGTAGGTCTTACAATAAAGAAACATGTGTAAGTCTGTATTTATTATGGGGAAAAGAAATCAGAAATACAGCATGAATATGTTTTATAAGTTAAATATAAGGGTAAATGTGTAAATGGAAAGTGTAAAAATTACATTTGTCAGACATAGTTTGGTGAATCCTTTGAATAAAATAAGACGTGTAAAAGGGAATCAACAAAGTTTTGTATAATCAAAATCGTAAAAAACAACCTTATATTTAGCGTAGGTATAATGAAACACTCAATCGATTTCGAGGGCAGCTAAAGGTCCCTCCTCATCAGGAGAAAGAAATACATAGAAAGAAGAAAATAGGAATCACAGAAACACGTGGTGCTTATCAGCACTGCACGTGGTTATAACTAGATTTTTAATCAGAGTTGCACTGGCCGCCTACTTTTACTGAGCCAGGCTGTCTGATCAAGCATAAAGAAATATTAGCGAAGTTAAAATAGGGAGCGAGGGGCAAATGCACATTACGCTCAAAATCTGAACTTCATATAATAAATACGTTAAAAATTCAGACATGTTCAGACAGCCTGGTCAGAAAATGTTCAGACAGCCTGGCTCAGTAAAAGTAGGCGGCCAGTGCAACTCTGATTAAAAATCTAGTTATAACCACGTGCAGTGCTGATAAGCACCACGTGTTTCTGTGATTCCTATTTTCTTCTTTTATGTATTTCTTTCTCCTGATGAGGAGGGACCTTTAGCTGCCCTCAAAATCGATTGAGTGTTTTATTATACCTACGCTAAATATAAGGTTGTTTTTTACGATTTTGATTATCATATTAGCGTGTTTCTCTTCTAGTCCAAAGTTTTGTATAGTTAGTAAAATACATTAGAAGGAAAAGTTCTGAGTATCTCCAACTTAGTAGTAAAAAAGTAAGAAATGTAGTATTCCAGTTAAACTATATAGAAGGAACATTGTGTATATTGGTTTAAAATTACAGAAAATATTATTTAGTGAAGTTATATGCATGTAAATTCCAGCTTAAAATTTCAAAAACGGAGAAAGTTAGGTAAGTTTACTTTTGGAGAATGGAATTGTAACATGATGTTGTATTTAAAACACGGGGAAACACGGGAAAAAAATTAAGGTAAAATAAAAATGTAAAAAAAAATTAAGGGAAAGGGAAAAAACAAAAAACTGCATTTGTGTAAACACAAAAACTCAAAAAAATTAAAATTATGAAAACTACTTTTGTAAAAAAAATTAAGTTAAAAATGTAGTAACACCTTTTTTTTAAATAAAAAGCGGAAAGGAAAAATTAAATTTGTAAAAATAAATATACTTTTGTAAAAACCAAAAAAGTTTAAACAAAAAAAAAAAAATAAAAAATAAATAAAATAAAATAAAAAATAAAATAAAGTAAGTAAAAATCGAAAAGGAATAAATTTTGAAAAAAAACTTTGCAAAATCAAAAAGTTGTGAAAAAAATCTAATTTTACTTTTAACCAAAAAAAGTTAAACAAAAAATTAAAATAAAGTAAATAAAATACGAAATAAAAAAATTTGTTGAAAAAAAAACTTTTGCAAAATAAAAAAGTGAAAAGGAAAAATTCAATTCGTAAAATAAATATTAAACCAAAAAGAAACCAATATAAAAAAATAACTTTGCAAGACTAAAAAAGTAGAAAATTTAAGTTACTTTTGTGGAAAACGTCAATTTGCGAAATTAAAAATAAATTTATGTTTGGAAAAAGGAAAAAAAAAAATAAAAAAACTTTAAATTTGTGGGAAACAAAAAAGTAAAAATAAAAAAGATAGTTTGGGAAAAAAATAATACAATATAAAAAATGAAAACAATTAAAAATATCTTAATAATAAAAATATTAAACTGTGGGAAAATCTTACATTTAAAACAATCAATGAATAAAGTAATGATTAAGAAGCCCAAAGAAATCCTAGCCGTCGTGTAAAAACAAATGTGTGACGCGGTTTTCATGTCAAAGCGCATGCGCAGACTTTCAGCCTTATGTCATCAATGGTGCAAAAAGTCAAAGGGCCAAATAGAGTTTCAAATAACAAGTCTGATAAGAGGACCGGGTAGCCGAGCGGTAAAGCGCTAGACTCCCATCCCAGAGATAGCGAGTTCGAATCTCAGCCGTGGAGTTATTTTTAAAATACAGGGAAAATGATACTAAATTAATTAAAAATGGATTAAAATATAATGGAATCAATTAAAACTAATTAAAACTAATGACGGATTAAATAATTAAAATGAATCGTATAAAAATGAGTAAATAATTAAAAGTAATGACGTATTAAATAATTAATCACGTATTAAATAATTAAAAACAATAAATTAAAAGGTGTCCTGCCAAACACGTGGTTAAGAGCTCGTTGCCATAAACATAAAAAATAGTGTCGTTGCCACAAAAAATAAAAACTTTGAAAACATAAAATCGTTGCCACAGAATCAAAACGAAAGTTTGATGATGTCATTCCATCACGTGATACAAGATGGCGCTGGTGTCGTCACTTCCGGAGAAATTCAAAATGGCGGAGGTCACGCCCCTTTTCTGTGACGTCACTTCCGCCGGCCGGTTACCTGCGGTTACTACTTATGTATGCAATTATTTCTATTCATATCGACTGTGTGTTTGTCATATATTTTTAATGCTATTTTAGATATTATTTGGTTTCCTTTAACAGGTTTTTCTAGAGATCTAGGAACTCTCAAAACTTATATAATTTAATGGTATCCACTTCTACGCTGTACGCCGTGTTGGTATACGTTAAGCTTCAGAATAACAATCTGCTTCCCAAAAGAGGATCATATTTTATAAACTGCTATTCAGGATGAAGGAAACAGGTAAGTACTGATATTAATTTTACTTACAATACTGTTATTATTTAATTTTCCTTCTTCATAATAAACCTGTTAGCATCTACGGACCATCAATGGCACAGTGGATAAGATCACTGAACACTGGTAGTTTCGACGAAAGAGTTGATTGAGCATTTTGTCTTTAGTCGTTTTTCAATGTGTAATGCCAATACAACGCATTTCTCCTCTTAGGCAGTTGATTCTAGTGTGCTTGACTTAATCACAACGCATTTCTCCTCTTAAGCAGTTGATTCTAGTGTGCTTGACTTAATCATATAAGCAAATAAACTATCTGGCATCTACAAATAAAAACTCCATTCATAAAAAAGGTAGAGATTGCATTTTATATGATAGTTGTTAAGTTGTATAAATAAATGCAAAGGAAAAGATATTTTCTTCATTTTTTTTAGATGAACTTAGAGTCTGGCTTTCTTTGGTATTATAAACTAGTGTCAAACTTCCAACAAACTTTAAACGAATTATAAACTGCGTCTGAAGCGAATTACATAGTTCTTGAAAACGTCAAAAATAAACTTTTTATTAAAATCTGAGTTTGAACATAAAACCATGTTTCGTGTTCATAATATCAGCCACCATCTGTGGCGATGAAACTCAAAGCAACAGTGATTTCAAAATTTAATGTATGTCTAACAGTGGAAGGTTACACAATTAAATTTACTTTTAAGTTCGCTGAGAACTTCTCATTGACGTACAATTTAAATGGCGTCAGCTATAACGCAAAGCAGACTCACTTCAATCTTGTCAGAGTTGGCAAAACCTAGTAACGTGAGCTCGAGAGGCAGAAACATGCTGTGTCTTATAATCCAATATCCTCGACTTAACCACTCTCTAACTAATTTGCATTTTGGTGAAGCAAAGGAGAAGTGACAGTAAACGCTAAATTTATAAATACATGGTCAGTGAAAAATAATTGTATCAGTTCAAACTGTATCAATTCAGCAACTCCGAAATGAATTGAAAAAATTTTACTATATGAGAAACAAAGCGATGACATAATTTAAGCAAAATCTATACATTATCTACTAATCCTGTGTTTTGCATCATAAGGCACCCATCCATGACGAAACGTTTAAGCAGTGTGGTTCACGATATAAATTTCGATTACTACAAGAGAAGAATAAGGAATCAAATGTTGTCAACCAAAAACGAGGGAAACATATTAAAATTCTAAGAGAGATCTTTATGATGAATTTGTTGATTTCTAATCGATAATTTATGCTAACTCAATAAATTACCATCATTTTACACTTATTATATTCCATGTTCAGGTTATCAGTGGTATCTTAAGATCCATTTTGTATTTTAAGATACAATGAAGTTAAATTTCTCAGTTAGAAAACATCTGTTGCCATAAAAATAGCACGGAAATTTATAAATTATCATTTCCTTACACTTGCTTATCATATATTAGTATACATCTTATCTGCAAAAAACAGGAACTTACGTGGGAAGCATCTTAGCAAGCCCAAAGCAGAGGATTTGGTTTTAAACTATCTTAGTGAAAACCTGCGACGGCATCACAAAGTGTATTAAAATAAAATTTCTTTACAACAGAGCAATGGTGCAGAATAATCAGAAAGATTAAGCAAATATTTCTAGATAAATTCTACATATGGAGTTAAAATGCAGGATATTTTTTTAATAATGAAACTAAAAAATGCTGTTTGTAAATATGCATTGATAGTAGATAGTGTATTATACTAGATTAGTAGATAATGCAGTGATTTTTTTAAAATAAAAAGATGGTCAAGTCTACCCCCCCCCCTTTAAATTCTTTTTTCTGTCACATAATTCATTATGGTTAAAACGTTCGGCGCGTGTCACAAACTTCTTCAAAAGTTTCATTAGCCCAAAAGACTGTTAGCTCGAATGGGCTATTAATCTCGAAAGGGTATTTTGCGTCGTCCAAAATAAGCCGGGAATATTTTTTCAAATATTGCCAAATGCTCAAAACTGCTCCAAATATTACCGCCCTGTATTATTTTTAAAGAAATTAAATAATGAAGTACACATGTATGTACGTATGTTTCTCGCATTGTGAAAATTCAACGGTACCGAGGGCCATCTAATTTTAAATAACGTTGTACTATCAGGTTCAATGTTCCGTCTTACTTTCTTTGGGAACATGCACAGACCTGACTCGGAACAGGGAGCTTACTAAAGCTATGTTCAATAACTGTGGGAAGTAGACAAGATACACAGGAAGGGTATACAAAACCCTTTATTTTTCACTCTTTACAATAATTTCCGTACTTCGGAATACAGAGACCAACTACTTGTGGTCTGAACGTAAGAATATAAAATATAAACTAAACTCTAACTTAACTTTGGAATAATAACAAGGGCCTACGTGGAAGATTGGCCTTATATTAACAGGAAGCCGTATGTAGTACAGAGAACTGTTAACACTACAATACGTTTAAAATTATCAAGAGGATTAAACCTCTGGCCTGGAAGGCAAACAGCAACTGTAAAACTTCTAAGGTAAGCGGCCTGCTTCGACTAACTGCTTCCTCTCTCTCGCTTGGCAAAAAGCCACAACTTAAAGTACTTGGCGTTCGCCAGACCAGACAAATTTTGCATAAATAAGTTAACGCTTATAATTCTGGCCGGAAGTAGAAAATAAGAAGTGATAGTAAAGATTTAAAATAAAATAAACGTTAGTAAAACTTAAGATCCTTACATACTTCCCGCCAGAGTTAATTAGTTTGAAACTGAGGTCTAAAACGACCTTGTTGAAAACTTTTAGCTCTAGAATCTAACGCGAGGCCAATCTTTTACAAACATTTCTTACTAGAAACTAGAAATTTAAAAAAAAAATTGTTTTTTACAATAGCAGCTCCAGGACCAAGGACAACCCAATTTTTCATCTGTACTGCATCTAAACAGGAGCTTTTATTCAAATCTGGTTCCTTCCAGAGATCTGGAAGGAAAACTAGTTTAATGAAATGTTACACAATGAAATGGCAAGTAACATGCATATTTATATTTCTCTTAACATTCTTATTTCATTCATGACTATTTTAATTATCTCTCCCCGTGCTCTCTGACATGTGTTGTAAAAGAACACCAAACACGAATGTGTTTCTGTCTACGTGTTCCACACTTCCTCCTACAATCAAAACACTAACGTGTTAAAATTCAACATACAAGACCTCGTAACACACCCTAATTTCAACTCTAAACCCTGAGGTACTATTCTGAAAGTGGCTAACTCTGAAGTGTAGCGTCAGAGAGCCTAACTACATTCATTCAACCTTTAACACATATTCACCATGATTTGGTCTTTTTACAGTCACACGAATAAGTTTAAAATTTTTAACATTACTTTCACTTTTACCATATCACGGTATTTCTTAACATTTAAAATAACAGTTCACATTGTATATAAGAACATATTAACATGCCGTTAATTTTACACATTTGAAAACATACATTAGTAGTACATTGTTAACTTCTATTCTTTTCAAAGCAAGTGCCAATTCTTTCTACATTGAAATACTACATTTCAAAAAGTCTTTCAGACTAAAACTTCTTTCTTGCCAGAATGTTTTAAATAAAATTTATACAATAACTTTTTACAATATTTAAGTCTTTACACATTCGCTATTATACATCAACTTTAGTTTTTTACGCGCGAGTAATTGAAAAACATAATACCAAAATCGGTAACAACTCATTTCTCGCCCTTTTTGGCGATAAAGGTAGACCTCGCATGAGGTAAAACTTCTTGAAATCTGCCACTTGCAGTAAGAATGAAAGATTAACTTAAGTTTGCAAAGTAACATAAAATTTTACTTATCTTTGTGATATTCGGACATTCTTTTCTGGCCCAGTCCTGGAAGGTAGCGCAGATTCTCGTTTGATTTATCCTCCTTCTTGTACGGGCTCGCCCTTCAGTGCCTTCCTCTGGAAGCTTTTTTTCTCCAGTTCGGTCACCCTTGAATACCTTTCTTTTCGCTCTGCTGTGGTCTTGGCCGTTTGATGGCAGCTGGTCTTGGCGGAACCGGGAAACTTCTTTCGTGTTCCTGCTTGGACCTCGTTGCTGGCCGTTCAAATTTTCCTTGTAACTTTTCCTCCGCCGCTGGATGGCCCTTCCGCAGTTCGGCGACATTTGCTGCGGAGAGTCCTGTCGGATGAGTAGATCTTCCGTTTTAGAGCCGGGTTATAGTTGCCGTCATTTCTCCTGGCCTTCTTTGCATACGTCGTCCTTCTCCCTTCTTCATTCTGGGGGTGTTCGTGAACTCTCTTTTCTGGACGGTGGAACGGCTTCTTTTTCTTGTTACCTTCAATTTTCCGCGGGGAAACTTTCTTTTCACTTGCTCCTGCCTCTAATGGCTTGCCCTTGTACTTGTCGTTTTCCACCTCTGGAGCTTGTGCCTGCGGTGTGTCTGCCGTGCCGGATCCTGCAAAAGATCTTTGAAAAATTTGCATTTTATTACGATCATAGTAGGGTTTTGATTTGATCAATGTTTGCGGAAGCAGGTTTCACCATTTCTGGCTTTTAACACCACTACAGCGTGAGGTATTTTTTCTATGACATATGGTCCTTCAAATCGTGGAAAAAATTTGGCAGTTTTATCTTCTGGTGCTGAAGAAAGTGAATACTTAATTTTTAACACTTCATCCCCTACTTTATAAGTTACTCCCCGTCGTTTCAAATCATAATACAGCTTCTGTTTTCTCTGTGCTACTTCCGTATTCTTTTTTGCTTCTTTAATTAGTTTTTCTATATCACCCATTTTAAATTCTGGGGCTCTTTGTTGCACATAAAATAATTTATCTAACGGCGTTATAATCTTTCTGCCTAAAAATAACTCAGCAGGAGTTTTGCCCGTTGTATCATGTTTTGCGGTCCTAAGGGCGAAAGCAAATTCATTGACATAGTTATCCCAGCTTTTATGAAAATTTTTAACATAACTACGGATAATTTTCACTATATTTCTATTGACCCGTTCCGCTAT